TCCTGCTTTAACTAGTATTAGATTTCCCTCCTTTGTTCACCACTATACTATATTGTTCCAAAGAAATTCATTCCACACAATACAAAAGCCAAAACATTTTCAAACTGACATATTCTATCCCTTGCTCTAATACAGTTAACAGTAGATGTCCATTAAATGTATAAATATAGTTACATACCTCCTAAACTGTCAAGATCTTCTCCTGCTTTAACTAGTATTAGATTTCCCTCCTTTGTTCACCACTATACTATATTGTTCCAAAGAAATTCATTCCACACAATACAAAAGCCAAAACATTTTCAAACTGACATATTCTATCCCTTGCTCTAATACAGTTAACAGTAGATGTCCATTAAATGTATAAATATAGTTACATACCTCCTAAACTGTCAAGATCTTCAAGAATTCTTCCAAACCTAGGACATAAATGTTACATAAAAATTAAACTACTATATTAACAGTAAATAGGCAATTGTTATTTTCCATATGCATAAAATGATTGCCTTGTTACCTCACACTGTTGTGTACATTTAGATATTTTTCTCTTAATTCAGGTTGACTTCCAAGAGGTAAAGCTACCTCTATGTAGCTATCTTTCATTTTCCTAGGTGGCAAGTCTTCCTGCTTTCCGGCCAATAGAATATGTAGGTCTTTTCTTTCATGCATTGCTTGCACATGGTCACTAAGAAGAAAAGAAATTGAGTAAAATCAACAGAATACAGAATGTAACTCCCCTCAAAATATGCCATGCTGCAGAGCTACTCAACTTTGAAAGCCTTAGGGGCCACAATGATACTCGCAGCATATGCTGAGGGCCACAACTTAAGTGTGGTTGAATATACATGCAAATATATATATGCAAATAGCTTCTTTCACACTGATGGGCATAAATACAAAGATTAAGGCAAGTGTAGCCCTGCTGTAGATCAATATATAAAAGAAAAAAAAACCCAGCAGCAGTCAGAAAAAAATAGATATTATACCAAGGGTCACATATAATGAGAGAAGAGAGACACAATACATCACAAACAGAAATGTTAACAGCAAGTTAACTATGTGTAGGGCCCTACCAAATTCATGGCCATGAAAAACACATCATGGACTGCGAAATCTGCAACACTCTGTGAAATCTGGTCTTCTGTGTGCTTTTACCTTATACAATACAGATTTCACAAGGGAGACAATCATTTCTCATATTGGGAGTCACAACCCAAAAAAAGGAGGTGTGTGGGGAGGTGTCACATGGTCATATTAGGGGGGTGAGGGTATTGCCATTGTTACTTCTGAGCTGCCTTCAGAGCTAGGCAATCAGAAAGCAGCAACTCTTAGCTGGACATCCAGCTCTGAAGACAGCACCCCATCAATAGCAGCACAGTACCACTTTTCACTTATGTACTGCTGCCTTCAGAGCTGGGAAGCTAGAGAGAATCAGCTGCTGACTGTGGGCCCAGCTCTCAAGCAGAAGCTCGGAAGTAAGAGTGGTATGTATGATATTAAAAAACAACAAATGGTCTGGTAGCACTTTATAGACTAACAAAACATGTAGATGATCTCATGAGCTTTCATGGGCACACCCCACTTCTTCAGATGACCAGTGCCCACGAAAGCTCATGATCCCATCTACATGTTTGGTTAGTCTATAAAGTGCTACCAGCCCATTTGTTGTTTTTTAAGTTTATCCTGTACACACTAACTCAGCTATCCCCTGAAGCTTCTGAACATGTATGATGTTGCCATTTACTTCTGCACTGCTGCAGGTTGCGACTCTGCCTTCAGAGCTAGGCTCTGAGCCAGTAATTGTTGCTCTCTAGCTACCCAGGTCTAAAGGCAGCACTGCTACCAGCAGCAGTGCAGAATTAAAGGTAACAGTACCACAACTCCCTGCCCCCCCCGACACACACACACATCTTTTTGGGTCAGGACCCCAATAATTACAACACTCTGAAATTTCAGATTTAAATAGCTGAAATTATGCAATTTGTGATTTTTTAAATCCTATGGCTGCGAAATTGACCAAAATAGACTGTGAATTCGGTAGAGCCCTAACTATGTACAAACTCTTAAAGAACAGGATGTGATGGTTTTATTCAACTGTAAGAAAATGACAGTACTGGGTCCTGCTATGAGGGCAGGGGACTGGACTCGATGAGGTCCCTTCCAGTTCTATGAAAATCTGCAACACTCTATGAAGATAGCATACTTTGTAGAAGAATTATTTAAATAAAAATATATGTCCAGTCCTGAATGATACAAAGCTGTTAAATAGGGATGTTAGATACTGTGTAATTAAATAATCCTGTAACCACACCAACTATTATCGGTTATATGATTTTTCAATAGTTGATAGGATTAACCAATAAGGCTAGGTTTACTGGTTAATCGTGTAGTCAACTACATAATGACATCCCTACTTAAAAACCCTATCATCCTTTAAAAACACTTGATTTCACATACTTTATTTTAAGCAAACATAATTTAACCTAATGATTTTTGTAGTCATGACTTACATTTATGATAGCTCAACTCTTCCAACACAACAAATGTGTTAAATTTACTAAGTGCAATGATTATTTTACAGTCTGCCTTGAGTAAGGAGACCAGAGAGGGAACTGTGTCTTCATAACTATTCCCTCTTCAGTTCTCTCTCCCATTCACCAACAGCACTTTGTTCCAGGAGAAAAATAACCTGCCAATGTTTTATACCAACAACCGTTTACTGTCCCCTCTGTACCAGCTCATCTGTGCTGATGGAAGGGGAAAACTAAATCTACTCATCCCCCAATCCACCAATGCAGAAAAGGGCACACTGCTTCTATAAGGGCACACTGTCTTCCATGAAGCAGGTAGTCTCCACAGGGGAATAAGGAAACACCTCATCACATTTTACTTCCCTGCAGAGATGCAGATGCATTTTGTAAAAAACTTCTGCCCTAAACATCACACTTTTGTGAAGATCAGAAGTTCCATCCCCTAACTTTAGAAAGCATATTTTATTTATATTATATATATATTATGTGTCAAATACTAAGTCTATACATCTGTTAGATTATTCTCTAAAATGTTAACTTGTTTCATGGAGCATACACATGAAACTACTTTTAAATCCCACAGTGGATCTATGGCACAAAATGGATCTGTATCACTCACAAATGTGCAGCATGTTCCTTTTGTGCATGTTACAGTAGAGTTCTATGCAACATTGTAAAGTTGGTCACAAGTTTAACAAGAATTTGGAATTTTTTGGACAATTCCTATCTCTTCAACCAAAATATGGGGTTTTGCAAAACCCCCAATTTTCTCAAACATTTACACTCTACCCATTTTTCAGTGGAAAGAATGGGGAGCAGAGAGAACATTTCCCCTAACCAAAACTTATTTTGAAATTTTTTCAAAAACATTACAAGATGTTATTAAACATGTTAGTGAAAGAAACCAAAAAAATTCAAATTCACATTGAGTGGAAATGAAAAAAAAAAACTTTCACTGCTTTAGAAGTAATATTTCATAATTTTTTTATTTTTTTTTTAAAACAGATCCTATTGTATATCAGAATCCACAAAGCAGGAAGATGTAGTTCCTACCCCAAAGGGTTTACATTCTAAATTACACAGTTGTACAGACATGGAACACACCAAATTGCAAAGTAAAGACACTCTATTCTTTATCACTCTGTAAAAGCTACATGTAGACTTTTCACATCAGCAACATTGATGCATTAAGTAGAGGGCAATCTTGTACATGTTCTGTGGTCCAGACCCAATCCAACTCCAACTAGAGTCGATTTATTTCTATTGAATTCCACATGAGTTGAATCATATCATAATCTATAAATATATATAATAGTTATATATACACACACACACACCCCAGCATTGATGTAAACGGTCTCTCAACTTTTATAGTCATTGGGTAAGAAGAGTATGGGTACGTCTAGACTACATGCCTCTGTCGCCAGAGGCATGTAGATTAGGCTACCAGACATAGGAAAATGAAGCGGCGATTTAAATAATCGCCGCTTCATTTAAATTTACATGTCTGCCGCGCTGAGCCGACAAACAGCTGATCAGCTGTTTGTCGGCTCAGCGCGGCAGACATGTAAATTTAAATGAAGCGGCGATTATTTAAATCGCCGCTTCATTTTCCTATGTCTGGTAGCCTAATCTACATGCCTCTGGCGACAGAGGCACGTAGTCTAGACGTACCCTATGTTCATATTCCCAAAAATATTATAAACCCTACATACACAAACAAGACAGCTGTATAAGAATGATTTTGTAATGTAAAATGGCACTGATTTCCACAAGAGATTCATGAACCAAAATTTCATTACAACATACTTCGGGTATATTTACACTGCAATCAATGAGTATAATAGCAGCTCACATAAACATACCTGAACTAGGTTAATCTGGCTACTGTGGATATCAGCAGAGAAGATAATATTGCACGTGCTTCAGAGTGCTATACAAGTCTGCCCAGAAACCTGGGTAATTATTTACACCGCTAGCCAGCACTTAAGCATACGCTGCTGTAGTTTCACAGTTCTGGTCCCAAAGCTAACTCAAGTATGTCTCTATGAGCTGCCACTTCAAACCTTAGCCACTAATTTACAATTTTAAAACCTTCAGTTTTCTTTGCTTCTTTCAGCCTTAGCCAAGTGTTTTCCTACCAATTAGCTATATAATGCTGTTAGCCGTCATTGCTGTGAAGGTGAACTCTCTCAAAAGTATCAGAAATTAAAGAAAAACACATTCATGTACACTGTACCTCCAGTTGGTAGAAGCTCCCACTATAGCCCTCAATCTGCTTCGCACTGAAACAAAATCAAAGCAAATCAGTCAAGTGACAAATGTGAAGTTGCCTGATGCTAAAAGGTGAAATCTTTATCCCAAGAATAGGAAGGATCAAGCAAAGTCATGCAAACAGTAGCTTGAAAACCAGACATTGTTGGCCAACTTCACTGCTGGGTTTATTAGGTATGTCAAGATCTTGGGATAAACTAACTAGACTTCCCACAGATTAATAATGTAATTAACCTGGATTGTTTTTATTTTAGTAAAACGGTTCTACAACCAGTTGTGTACAGATAGCATCTACAGAAAATTCTTTCAGAATTTTCTTTCAGAAAGTTTACTAATGCAAAAGGAAAAAGTTGTTAGTGCTCTGAATAACTGAAAAATGTGGCAAATCATTATCAACCTAGGGAATTGGAATATGGGGCCATTTCAACTAAACACAAACAAATCCTGGCTAATTCACAGACTGAGAAGTGGGAAGACAAACCCAAAAGTGAACAGTGCAGCTGGGGTGGAGAAAAAAAAAAGGAAGATTTATCTTTTTTAATCAATTAAATGAGGACAGGAAGGGTCAGTGCACTGGCTTTAGCAAGCAGAGACTCATCTTCATTCATGTAGAAATCCAGCTCTAGCAGAGTTTACACAGGCAGCCTATCTACACTAGTATATCTACTATTGCCCGCACCAGGGAAACAGCTTTAGTGCCTGCATGAGGATGTGAGCTCTCTTTAAATTTAGATTGTAGAGGCAGATGAACAGTTCTGCACTTTTCTCATTTGGGTCTGCCAGTTTGAAGCTAGATCTACTCAAATCTAGAGACTCTATGCTGTGAGTTTTAGTTTGGCATAGTTGTATAAAAAACCACAAGCAAGACACAAATTCTGCCACTGACAGCACAGCACAGCGGATGATCCTTCACATTTTTTATACAAACCAATTAAAAGCATTAGAGTCTGGCTTTGTACATTCCAGATTGAACACTCAAGGCTATAGGCACCAACAACTGTCAGAAGTATATTTTGGATTAAGGAAAATTTAATGACCAATTTTACACCAGTAAACCTCAGCCAGAAAAAACTGCTTACAATTTAAATGAAACCTCATCAGTAGCCTGGTTATATAAGAACTACTCCACTGACATCAATCAAATTCCACTGGTGGAGCCAGCAGTGAACTTGTCATAATATCCAGTAGAGTAAAGAAAGCAGCATTACTTTCACAACAGCTACAACCACATAAGGCTTAATATCTGTACAACTCTTCAGACTGAAAAAAAAAGAATGCTTTCACCTAGAATTTCTGTGCCTTGATTTGAAGAGAAAGCTGTGGCAATTTCTAATTGTAAAGAGAGTCAGGCAATAGCTATTAACAGGACTCGACAAATGCACTCGCCCGCGGTCAGTAGATTTTATCAGCTGGCGAGTGCAGGGGTGAACTGACCCGGTAGGTGGTTGTGATGGGCTGGCCAAAGCCCTAACCATGGGCACCAGGAATGGGAAAGCACAGTGATTCTCAGCGCCAGGCTGCCTGTGTGCAGCTCCAGCGCGAGGAGGTGGGGTACAAGCCAGAGGGCGGGATGCCAGCAGACACCAGGACGCTGGCGTGACATGGCCTCGCTGATTTTAAAGGGCTGTGGCAGCTTGGCTCTGGCTGCGTGGCCCCGGGAGCTGGCTGTGGCGCAGCCAGGCCCCGTCCCACCGGCTTCAGTCCTGCCATGGCCCCAACCCCCTCGCCGGTGAGAGACCTCTCCTGACCGACCACCCGACTCACTGCACCCACCCCGCACCCCTTTGTCTCCACGCCATCCGTTCCCCACACCATCCCTGCTCCCCTTCTTCTCTGTGACTCTCTGGCTCTGCACCACCCTTGCATGCTCCCCTACGATCCCTGCCCCCCCAGCTCTGTGCTGCCCATTCCCTGCACTGCCCCAGGCCCCGATCCCTCTGCCCCTGCTGTTCCCCGTGTCCCATTCCCCGTGCCTCCACCGCACCCCACACCGCTCTGGCTCTGTGCCTCCAATTCCCCACACCACCCCTGTATCCCCCCCACCACTGTTCCCTGCACCCCTCTGGCTCTGTGCTGTCCCTGCACCCTGTTTCCCCTGTGGGTCGGGAGTGATGGGGTGCTTGTCCATAGGGAGGGGCTAGACAGGGCAGGGAAAAGGCTGCTGTGGTCCAGCAGCAAGTGAAAGGGGGAGTTCACTTGAAGCTCCTTTGCCTTTACGGAAAAAAAACAAATGAAAATGCAATTTGCTATTTACAGGGCTAAAATAGTGGGACAAAAATGAAAAACAACAACAAAAAAACTCAATGCAAAATGCAAACGTGTAAAAGACAACCAAAAAAAAAAAGGGGAGGGAGCGGCCAGAAATGTTTTGCTTGGGGCAGCAAAAAACCTAGAGCTGGGCCTGGGGAAGGGGCGGGGCTGGGCTGGACTGTGGGGAGGGGAAAAATATGGGGAAGGGGCTTGTGCTAAGGGGAGGAAAGGGGAGGGGAGGAGGGCAGGACAATGAGGTAAAGGGCAGGAGAGGAGGTGTCAGTGGGAGGGGAGACAGTGTGATGCTGGGAGAGGAGAGAGTAAGGGCACTGGGGGAGGTGCTGGGAGAAGGCTAGAAAGAAGGGATGGGCATGAGGAAGGCAGGGATGGAGCAAGTCATATATGAGGGCACAGGGGTATGAGGGGAACAGGGGCAGAGGGTGGTGAGGGGGTGGGCATCAGGGAAAAAGAGAGCAAAGGGGGCAGGGGTAAGGGAAGGGGGAGGCACCAGGAGGGTGCAAGTGCCAAAGGGTTCAGGGGGTGAAGCAGAAGGGCAGATACCTGCAGGGGAAGGACCAGCTCCAGAGAAGAGAGGCAGAGCAGATGTGTAAAAGAAGGTGTTAGAAGAGGGGATGAGGAGGGGTGGCTCACATGATCAGAGTGGGGCTACTGGAGGCGTGGGCACAGGGGGGAGAGAAGGGCTGGTGGAGGGGGGGGGTGTCAGGAAGGCTGAGTCAGGACAGCAGGGGAGGGTGAGGGGTTGGGGGGCAGCAGGCACCAGGGGAGATGATGGAGCAAGGGGAGGAGACATGGCAGCAGAGGGAAAAGGTAGAGGTTTATAAGATATTTAATCACTTGGGTGACATTTATTAATAACTTATTAGTAATTACTGTTCTTATTCTTATTAGGAATTTATGCTATAAAAAACACTTTTTGGGGGCGGAGGGTGGCGAGTCCCTTTTTTGTCTGGCGAGTAGGGTTTTCCAGAATTTGTCGAGCCCTGGCTATTAATGACTTAAGCCCCAATCTTGCAAAGATTTACACATGCAAGTAGTCCCATTCACTTTTGTGCAACTATTCAGATTTAAAATGCCCAAGTGTTTGCACGTTAGGAGGCTTAGCACTTTATTTCTGATTACATAAAATGTAAAAGATAAATATGCATAATGAATATTATCAAAATGTGGACAAACCAAATCCATTCCAATGTTCAGGTTTAAAACCAAATAATATTTTATAATTCATTCACCAAACAAATTCTATTATTTACCTATTCCCATCTTCATTTAACAGTTTTCAAGTAATTAGAAATAATGTTACGTAAACGTTCGTACTTGATTGACTGTTTTGTTATATTACACACTCTAATCTCTTAGGAACAGAAAATATTAGTAAATCATTCCTTAAAGCAATTACTTTGTGACAAACGTTGTAAGATCACAACATTCTATAGCATATTAATAAAGTGACTTCAGTTTCAAAGCCCTCATTAGCGTTTCTTTGTAACAGTGTTCACTCAAACCTGAAAAGGCTTTTTAACTTAAAAAAAAAAAATCACTAAAGCTGTATAGCATAAATTGAAATACTATGCATTCCTTAGGTCAAGAGACAACAGTAAGCAGCAACAAAATTGAAAGCTGAGGTGGCTCAACAAGGGATAATAGCAAGATACAGATTTCTTCAGTTTGAAGAAATGGAAATTTAAAGTAGTCTCAGAGACAGCTGGCAGCAAGGAAAACCAACTCCAATGTTTCAGTGTGTATAGAACCTTTTGCACAACACACAGGAAAAGGGCTCTTTGGAGTAGAGTACTGAAAATAGCTTTCTATCTGCACTGCTAACACTTGACAGTGTCTCCCAGCAACTGGTCCAAGGACCAGTGCTACTTCCTAAGATATCCCTGGCATAGGCTACATCTACAACACCGCTCTTACAGCAGAATAGCTGCACCAATGCAGGTATGACACTGTAGTGCTTGTGGTGGAGATGCTTTAAACCAACAGAAGAGAACTCTCCTGTCAGATTAAGAACACTAGACTCCACAAGAGGCCATAGATATGTCAACAGAAGAACTCTCCCATCAACATAGTGCTGTCTACACTGGTGCTTAGGTCGAGATATCTTACATTGTTCCAGAGTGTAGATTAGTCACACCTCAGGATTGTTCTATCTACTTCCCAAGATCCATAAGGACTCACACCTCAGAGCACTGTAAATTAGAATTAAGTAACCTTTAGTGTAGACAAGGCCAGAAAGTTTAGGAAAACAGCAAGCCAGTCTCTTGAATCAAAAAGGTTGAGAAACAGGCCTTGTCTACACTATTGTGGTAAGTCATCCTAAAGTATGCTAATCCTGCTACATGAATAATATAGCAAGAGTTGACATAGCTTAGATCGATTTATTTTGGTGTCTACACCACAGTGCATCAACAGGAAACATTCTCCCATCAAGTACAGGAATGAACAGGAGCGCACTGTGCTGTTGATTTAGTGGGTCTTCACTAAACTCACTAAAAAAGTGCCCCCAGTATGTGTTGACATGGCCACACTAGAGAATGTGAGATAATTAGAGGCCGAGGCTGTTAACAGGATTTTCTGAAGGCACCGAAATCTAATTTCTATTAAAAATTAGAGTAAGCTTGCGATTAGTTTTAAATACGTTACATAGTAAGATACCCCAAACAAAATGCAATACTGGGCCATCATTTTTAAGCAGACCTTGTTATTGATTTAAGTAGGAGTTGCAGGTACTCAGAACATCTGAATTCAAAGTTTTTATTCTGATATCAAATGAGGTTTTGTAAGTTAAACTTTAGGCTTTTGGCTTAAGTTTTTAATGAAAAGCGGACAAAAGTTTGTAAGTAGAATCTCTTTAAGTTATCAACATTGCTTCAACTACCAATTCAAATATTTTCATAACTGAGTCCCTAAAGTTAGGCTTCAAAATCCATATTTAGGGTCCTAAATAAACAGTCTGAATCTTCAAGAGTATTAATTGGTTACAATTCCTGGAAGATATGGACACTCAAAACTTTTGAAAAAGTAAGGCTCCTTACATTCTTAAATATGAATATCAGAACATGACTTCAGGCACTTATGTTGGAAAAATGTGTTACGAGGGCTTTCCTGAGCATTCATCTGTTTGTACCGTTAGGGCCAAATCCTGAAGTTCCTACTTGGACTTAAATAAGAATTTTGTCTATGAGAAATTTACATGTATATGTACCACAAGATTTGTGCCTTAAAATACATATTTTTGTATTAGTAACAGCAGATTTTTTTTTAAAAATACAAGTTATCTAGCATGCTCTTCTATCAATCAGCATAGCGTATATGTGTCCTGTGAAAATATTTCTACCAATAAAACTGGAACCATTCATATGTCATAGTTATAACAACAAGATGGATTACTTGTGAAAGTAAATAAAGAAAATTGTTGTGTTGGTCACAGATCCTCAATAAAGTGAATAGTAGCAAGAAAGGCTTGAAGCAGTTATATAAACATTAAAATGCATGCTGATTACCACTACACACCATTATTCACATGAATGGGTAAGTGTCCTAGGGAGTGGAAAAAACAAGTTAGAAAATCAGTACCACAATAAATCAAGAAAAAAAAGAGTATACTTCTAATCATGAGTAGTCTAGTTATTTTTCCCCTTCAAATTCCACTTTGCACATTAGTATCCAACTTGTCTTCATTCAGTTACAGTAAACTTCCGATAATCCGGCACCTTTAGGACCCAGGGGGTGCCGGATTATCAGATATGTCGGACTATCAGAAGGGGGCGGGAGGCTATGAGGGGTCTGGAGTGGGGTAGGAGGGGATGCCACCCCAGAGCCCTCATAGTCCCCCATTACGATAGTCAGGCTCTGCCCCAGGAGTCCCTGATTCAGCCGCTGGTGGTCAGTTTCAGCAGCAGCTGAATCGGGGATGCCTGCAATAGAGCGCTACGGCACCAACCCAGCAGCACTCCAGCTGCTCTTGGGGACGCCTGGGACACTGCCCGGTTGGTCCGGCAGCGCTGCCCCACGGCGCTGCGGGACCAACCGGGCAGGACCCCAGCTGCTCTGCCCCAGGGGTCCCCGATTCAGCCACTGCTGAAACAGATCAGTGGCTGATTCCAGGAAGCCCGGGGCAGAGCTGCTCTACCTGGTGCTTCCTGGCAGCAGCCCCTGATCTGTTTCAGCAGCGCTGACTTGGGGATCCCTGGGGCAGAG